GCGGCGCGCGCGGGGGGCGGGGCGCGCGCGGAGGCGGCAGCCGACCTCGCGCGCCCAGCCGGCCGCCCCCGCGACTGGGAAGGCCGAAGCCGCGCCGCCCGCGGCCTCGTGGGCGGGCGGGGGTAGGGCTCTGCGACCGCGGAGGAAATCGCCGCCACCGCCGCCGCCACCGTCGCCCTTCGTCGCCGTCGAGGCAATGATCTCCGTCCGCCGCCGCTGCCGCTCTCGTCACCGTGAAAGCGGTGAGGGTGGTGGTCGTCGTCAGCCGTCGCTGTTGTCGACGTGGTAGTGGTCGTCCGTCGTGGTCGTCGTCGTCGCCGTCGTCGTGTCGCCGTCGTCGTCGTCGTCGTCGCTGTCGTCATCACCGTCCGTCGTCGTCGTCGTCGTCGTCGTCACCGTCGTTGCCGTCGTCTAGCGCCAACCATCGTCATCGTCATCGTCGAGGGTAAGCTTGAAATCCTCGTCGACCGTGGTGCATTATCTAGGGATGAAAACAGAGGTTCATCCTCTGCAGATGATACCCTATGATGGATTATTGTTCTGTGAATGGATTGGGCTGAGGCCCCCCGGGCCGAATCATTATCTTTCCGGAATAATCAACCTAGGTTAAATTTTCCGAAATTATGAACCAAGGTTTACTTCAGGCCAAGACGTACCCCCAAACGGCGCCCCCCAGGCCCAATCATTATCATTCCAGAAAAATTGACCCGGGCCCAATAATCCGGAAAGATTACAAATGCGGGTTTGTTATCTCCTGGCGATAATGAACCTGGGTAAATATGCCGACATGAAAAACCCGGTGAGGAACCCGGGAACTGGGGGGAAAACCATAATTATGATCATTCCGAAATGACGAAAACCGAGTTCATTATTCCTGGGACATTGTAAACCCCAGGCAACATTCCCGAACATTATATATATATATATATGTTTGGGATCGATATCCCCAGAACATAACCAGGGTTTATAATGTTCCGTGGGAAACATTATGAGTCACAGTCAACATGCCCAGAACATTTCAACCCAGGTTCATAATGTTCCGGGCGAGACATGATGAACCCAGGTCAGCACTCCCAGAACATTATGAACCCAGGTGAATATCTTATCGAGGTCCATCCTGTCATCGTCGTCCGTCATCGTCGCCGCCGTTCGTCGCAGCTCGTCGTTGCGATGGTGGTCGTCGTCGTCTGTCATCGTCGTCGCCGTTCGTCGCCGTCGTCGAGGTGGTGGTCATCGTCGCCGCCGCCGCCGCCGTCCTTCGTCGCAGTCCAGGCGGCGGTCGTCGTCCGCCACTGCCGTCGCCATTCGTCGCCGTGAAAGCGGTGGTGTTGGTCGCCCGCCGTGACCGTCGTCGACGTGGTGGTGGGGGTCCATCATCGTCGCCAGCGTATCGCCGTCGTCGTTGTCGTCGCCGTGTTCGTGTCGTCGTCGTCGTCGGCATCGTCGCCGTCCATCGTCGTCGTCGTCGGCGTCGCCGTTCGCCATCGTCGTCGTCGTCGTCGTCGTCGTCGCCGTCCATCGTCGTCGTCGTCCGTCGTCGTCGTCGTCGGCGTCGCCATCCGTCCATCGTCGTCGCCGTCGTCATCGTCGGGGTGGTGGTCGTCGTCGTCCGCCACCGTCGTCGCCGTTCGTCGCCGCCGGTCGCCGTCCGCCAGCGCCGTCGCAGCTCGTCGCAGTGGAAGCGGCGGTGGTGGTCGTCCGCCGTCGCCGTCGTCAACGTAGTGGTGGTCGACCCGTCATCCTCGTCGATGTGTCGCCGTCGTCGTCGTCGCCGCCGTCGCCGTCGCCGTCCGTCTTCGTCGTCGTCGGAAGCACATCGTCGTCATCGTCGTCGTCCGCTGACATCGTCGCCATTCGTCACATATCGTCGTCGCCGTGCTGGTGGTCGTCGTCGACCGCCACCGTCGTCGCCGTTCGTCGCCGTCGTCATCGTGGTGGTCGTCGTTGCCGCCGCCGCCGCCGCCGTCCTTCGTCGCCGTCGAGGCGGCAATCGCCGTCCGCCACCGCAGTCGCCGTTCGTCGCCGTGGAATCGCTGGTGGTGGTCTTCCGCCGTGACTGGCGTCGACGCGGTGATGGTCGTCCGTCATCGTCGTCGTCGTGTCACCGTCGCCGTCGCCGTCGTCCATGGTCGTCGTCGTCGTCATCGTCGTGGTCGACGTCGCCGTCCATCGTCGTCGACGTCAAGCGTCCATCGTCGTCGTCGTCCACTGAAATCGTCGCCATTCGTCGCCGGCGTCGTCGTGGTGGAGCTCGTCGTCGTCCACCATCGTCGTCGCCGTCGCCGTGCGTCGTGGTGATGGTCGTCGTCGTCGCCGCCGCCACCATCGTCCTTCGTTGCCTTCGAGGCGGCAATCGCGGTCCGCTACCGCAGTCGTCCTTCGTCGCCGTGGAAGCGGTGGTCATCGTCCGCCGTCGCACTCGCGGACGTGGTGATGGTCGTCGTCCGTCGTCGTCGTCGTCGTCGTCGTCGCCGTCGTCGTCGCCGTCGTCGTCCTCGCCGTCCGCAGTCGTCGTCGTCTTGGTCGTCACCGTCGCCGTCGTGCGTCCGTCGTCGTCATCGTCGTCGTCGTCGTCGTCGGGCGTCGTCGTCGTCGGGCGTCGTCGGCGTCGTTGTGGTCATCGTTGTCGTCATCGTCGCTGACATCATCGCCATTCCTCGCCGTCGTCGTCGTCGGCGTAGTGTCGTCGCCGTCGTCGTCGTCGTCGTGGTGGTCGTCGTCGCCGCCACTGCGGCCGTCGCCGTCGCCGTCGTGTCGCCGTCGTCGCGCAGTCGCCGTCCGTCATCGTCGTCATCGTTGTCATCGTCGTCGTTGTCGTCATCGTCGCCGTCGTCCATGGTCGTCGAGCGCCCATCGTCGTCATCGTCGTCGTCCGCT